GGTGAATTTTTGTCCATTCTTCTGTAGGCAGTGCTATTGTGCCCCATGTCACTTCATCTGCCACATCCTGATTGTCTGAAGACCCACACACGGTTTTCATGTCATCCATCTGGCAGACTCTAATCATCTCTGCTCTTCTCTTTCTTGTCCAAACAACAGGTTACATATTTTATTATTTCCCTCTTCGTTTGAGAATAGTGTTTTCAGAAAGCCAGATGGGCTGATTGGTTTTCACAAGTCATCTAGTGTGCTCTTTTCTCGTAGATCACCATGTAAGCGGTGTCAAATTGGCCCACAGTCACTTGTATGTAATCCCCAGACTTAGAACTTCAGCTCGGCTGTTCTTTTTAACAAAGGCCCCAGGGAAAACTGGCTCATACCAACACAGATGCTTCTGATAAAAAAAAATACCAGTATGCCAATTTAATTGTTAAAATATGAAGAGGAGATGACTAGTACAAAAATTATAAAACATCTACATAAACTACTTTTTAAAGAAAAACTTCCCCTTAAATTTGCATGTCATAAGGGAATCGAAATACATTATTGTTCCTTTTTTTTTTTCATTTTCCAGAGCAGAAAACTGAGGCTCTCACTACTTAACAATTACCTACAGTCTCTTAAAGGAAACTTAAAGAGTTGTGACACAGTGTTCAGTGTAGTTAGAACACAGAACATGGAAACGTTAGTGTCTATGTGGCTCAGTGAAGTCATGCATGCTACAGTTAAGGAAACTCAGTAATAACAACTCACAATGCCAGGCTAGACAGCTGATTCTATAAGAGTTTAGAACAATTTAAATTGATAGTGATCATGGTATTTATTCTTTTTATTTTAATTGTTATGTATCTTTAAGATATATAACAGATGAGGAACATGTACTTAGAGTATTTGCTATAATGAAATGAATTAGCAAATACAGCATTTTTGTATGATAAGAAAATCATGACATCATTTGTATTAAAATTAAGATTTTTGGAAACAAATATATTTTCTTATGGAAAGAGCAATTATTAAGCAAAAGCCTGGAATTTAGTGCTTGGTTCATGTGGCCTCCATGTTGTACATTAGCTCTTTGGGTTTGCTCACCTTAAATATTTGCTGCTTTGCATTCTTAGTCTTGCGTTTACCTAATCCCTCTCTGTCCCTGACACTGATGCAGAGAATAGTATTTTCAAAAGATTAGCTTTCTAATGTACTGGAGGAGGAAGGTAACTGAGGAGTTGATATAAATGGCTCAGAGTATGTGCCAAGGATCTACACTACATTGTCTGCATCCAAAGATCAGTTCAAACTGTCTTGGAATTTACTTGTCAGCCAGGGAACGAGACTTCACAATATCAATTGAACTTAGTTCTACACTTTAAAAATCAACTGTACCAACAATTGTTCATTTTTTTTGTAGCTTACAAAGTAAGTTTTTTTTTTTGTCAAAGTGTTTTATCAGTTTTTGTCTTTTGGTAGCAATTGAAACACAAATAAAATAATATTCATCTATTAGGGTAAATATTCATTTTTCATTATCAAGTTCAATGTCATCTATGTTGATATTCAAATTATAATCTAAAGATGAAAGATAAAATATTAGTTACTTCTGTATGATTGGCAACAAGTACCTAACATTACAGCTCCCTGGAGTGAAGAAAGATTTGGGCTCACACTTCAGAGGAAGCTCAGTCCATCATCACGAGTAGAAGGCAAAGCATTCAGAACCCGGTGGTGCTAGTCACACCATGGCCAGGGACCTAGAAGCAGAATACAGATGGAAACCAGGGGTGGATATAACCTTTAAAGGCTACCTCTACTTACTTTTACCAGGTAATCCCATGAAAAGATTATAGAGCCAGTTCCAATCACAGAAAGCATGGACTTTCTATTGGGTCAATTTTGTACTCATAGAAAGAATGAACATACTAGCCATATCTACCACCATAATCATTTGGATTGCTCCTGAGCAAAAATCATTTACAGCTTATATATTTTGTCTTCTAATTTAGCATCAGTTTCATTCTACTCAATACATAGTATAAAAATGATTGTTCAGACACTCAGATAATCTGTATAAATTCAAATAATAGGGGTAAGAATAATTACTGATAGACAAGCATCCTATTATATCATTGGAAGAACAAGGAGTTTGCTTTATTTTCAATTTTGGGATAATTCTGGGGGGAAATGTACTTAGGCTAATACTAGCTGTCAAAGTTTATGTATATTATTTCATGTACTTAGCAACATAAATGTCACTGAGCATTAGCTCTTTTCAGAAACAAATTTCTTGGGAAAACTTCTGATAATAAATTGACGTCAACGTTCAATATTTTAAAGGTTATTGTGGTACAAAGCCAAGTTCTTTCATAAAATTACATATCCATTTATCCTACTCATATAGATTATGATTGGAATTTTAAATATCAAACAAATTTATAAAATCAAAGTAAAAGTCACCTTTACTATCATCTATAGAATAGCTTATCCATAAATCGAATATTATAAAGCATAGTTTTGTTATTATCTTTTAGCATCAGGGGTAGAGTTGTTGCTTCCTAATTTTTTTTACTTAAGTTCTACGGCCCCGTGTTTTGTATTTCTTTTAGCTTTTAATAACTAAGGGATGGTACCATTTTGTCCTTTCCCCCAACTTTATTGACATATAATTGACAAAGAAAAACACATTTGTTTAATGTATGCAAACCTCTCTGTGTTTAACTCTTACACATGAAAGAGCGTGTCATGGAGAGTATTCATGGACTATTTTATGTGATAAATAATAACATGTTAAAGGCAACTCATTTGTGACTACTTGAAAGGAGCATAAGGGTTATGCTGGTAAAGAAATAATGTTGCTTCCTCTTCCACCATGAGAAGTTTTATTAAAACTACAGTGTACATACATCAGTCTACAAATATTGTCAGGACAAGTAAGGGACCACAATGACAGAATCTACAGAGACAATAGAAAACACCAAATTCACTACAGATTGACAAAATTATTACTGAAAAGTTTCTGCACCCCAATAAGCCTCTCCTCTGAGGCAATAGGCCAAATCAGCCCAAATCAGCCCAAATTAGACAAAGCCCAGGTTTCATGGATACAAACGCTCCCAGATGACTTTTCAGCCCCTCAAAGACGAGACAGGAAAGGAAGAACAGAAAAGCACATGTTTGTTCTCTGGGGTGCAGTTTAAAGGCCTTGTGATGTGGTTTTGAGCATCTCTGGGAAGGGGTCATCATTGGGTGGGCTTTCTTTGTGGCTGAGTCTGAACTGAGTCAACTCCCAGTGGAGGGGGCTTGGGATGGAACTTCCACCCAAACAATTACATTAACAGCTAAGCTATAAAAACTCAATTTTGAATGACTTAGAGAAACTATATATACTTTCCTAATGATTTAAATCACTTTATGTGTTAACAAACAAAGGAAACAGAAGTATATCCCAGATTATGTGGCTTTTATTACATAAAAAGTGCATATATATATATATATATATATATGGTGAAGAGTGCACATGAATTTGTATGCAGAGAGAAATAAAATATACAATTGGCACCTTTATTATTTTAAAAGTTTTTTCTAGCATTTAAAGATGATTATATATTCTAAAACAGTTCTTCCGGGGATGTACAATGTGATTAAATTATAATACTGTTTAGTATAATTTTTAAATTTATAATGGTTCGGGGGCATATGCATAATTTATATAAGTTTACAAAGAAAAATAGAATCTTAATCAATATAAAACATATACATAGTATATAGATAAAGTTATAAAGTAATAAAAAATGGTTCTTCTGAGCACTGCGACATCCCTAACACTGTTTATAAGAAAAAATGACCCCTTGAAAATCATGTCTGCCCTGCTGTTTCTGGCAACCAGGCCAGACTTCAGAGAAACCTGGGCTATGTGTTTTGCTGGGACTCAAGGCATCCACAGCCTGAAAAGGGAAGTGGTGAAGTTCCTTGCTTTCTGTTCCCTCTCTCAGCATCCCCTCTCCCCCATCTCCACCCCAACCCCCACCTAAACCTGTGATTAGGTGCTGGGCTGGGCTTGGGGGGAGTGATTGTTGGCAGAGAGTTGAAACTGAAAACCCAGAAAGCCCCCAGGTAAATTCCTCAGCTCTCCAGTTCTCCCAAACACACACACACACACACACACACACACACACACACACTCACACTTTTTCTCCTGCAGCTCCTGAGCCGGCACTCTCTCTTAGCCCCCAGGCAGGTCAAGGGTTGGAGTTTTTCCACGCACACACATCATTTTGGTCATAATCTCCCGAATTTCTTTCTAGATTTTAGTTCCAGAACCCCCCTCAACTGTTGTATAGTTAAAGGCGGTGGCAAACAGCTGACTTTTCCCATGACACTCCCAAGGTCCCGGGGGCACAGTAAGTGATCTCAAGGGCTGATGGATGTCAGCATTCATAGGGGTCAGCCAGAGACCCAGGAAGAGTCATAGGCAAGGCAGGTATTGCTAGTTTTGCAGTCCCTGTAGAAGAAAACTTTGAGAGTGCACAGGGGGAGTCGAGTTGAGAGACGTTCTTAAAATGGAGAACCAGGGAACTTGATTTCCTGGTAGCTGCATTCCTCAACTGGCTTTTAAGCCTACACGCATTCAGGGCAGGGGAGGGTTTTTTATTTTGCGTGTAGGGAGTCCGTAGGGAAAGCATTCTTGGCCCTCATTCCTGTTTGCCAGGATCAGATTACTTTATACAGACTGGAGCTGGCTGGCAGGAGGCGGCCGCGGGTGAGGAGGGTGGGGGGGGGGGGGGATGTGGGTGGGGGTTAGTTTAAAATCTTTTATGTGTGTACACCTTGTATGGTTGGGTGTGGAAAGCAGGAAAAGGGGGGTTTCCAAGTCGAGTGAAATTCCCATCCTATGGCTATTACCACGCCTGTTGGGTTGGCAGGTTGCTTCCAGCCTGTAGTCGGCAAAAAAATACTCTCTCTCTCCAATAGAGTTCCCCCTCCCCTCCCTCCCTCCCTCCCTCCCTCCTTCTCCTACTCCCCCTCTTCCCCTCTCTCTCCTCCTCTCTCATTCTTCTCTCTCTGGTTTTTCTGCTTCCAAACAAACACCTTCTCCCAGGCTGAAGTTGGGCTGGTCTCCCTAGGAGCAGCAGCCACAACAATCCCGCAGTTCAAAGTTAAGAAGCAATTACACAACTTCCAGCAACTCTCTCAGCCGGTTGCTAATGAGCTGAAAGCCAGGAACATCTGAGGAGGTGAAAAGGAAGAGTCCAGCCCTCCGCCTTTCACCGGTGGGACCCAGACACCCCTCCTCAGGCCCAGATCACTCTTCCATAAGGACTGTGTTTTCTTTGCTGGCCTTACCGGACAGACTATGGCTCCCTTTGGAAGAAACATATTGAAGACGCGACATAAGAACAGGTAAAAAAAAAAAAAAAAAAAAAAAAAAAAAAAAAGGGGGGGGGTGGGTGTGTGTGTGTGTGTGTGTGTGTGTGTTGGGACTAAGTTTCCTAAGTGTGAAAATATGTTTCTTTGCACTTCGATTCAGATGAAAACTGATTTGAAAGCACAAAGCCCGGAGGAGACAGCTCTAGAATGAAGAGCCAGCTCTTCAGAATCTATGTTCTGTATTGATGATGGCAATGATACTCACAAGGATCATGGGAAATCATGACCGATTTTTTTAACTCGCTTTTCCCTTTATCGCAGTCTGAGTTCACTACAGGCACCAACATTTTCTCTTTAATTTGTCCTGAACTTGGCGGGAGAGAAGAATAACAAGATATAATTTGTTTGAACGCGGGTTTAGAATTTTCACTTTTTGAAAAAGCTTCAGACTTTGATAAGATGTAAGTAGAATGTCTAGCCACTTGTTAGGGGTAAAAAATACAATGCTGATACAGTCTGGAAACAATGCTTTGGTTTTCCTGAGAGTGGGTCTTAACTAAGGTCTGGAAAGTTCCCAAATGAAAACATTCCCATAAGGAAATTTTTATGAACTTTAGAGGCATTCAAAGAGGAGTCAGGACGCTGAGTGCCTCAGATCTTCGTGATCAAGTCAGCATTAACTGTAGTTTAAATACATATATTTAAACCCTAGATGAGAGGGGATAGGGAGAGCGAGGGATTGAATTTGAGATAATGGGATAATATCCATATTTATATTTTAGTACTATAAACTATTTTATGTATGTCTCAAATATAACATTTTTTTATGCAAACAGCACAAGGATAATTTTTGAAGGCTTTATATATCTTAATTTATTTCCTTTGGCGTAGGGGCTTTCCAAACACACTCCTCTCCATTATCCCTGTTTGCGCCTGCCGTAATTTGCTTAGCGTAAATTTAAACGGTTACAATTACAAGGTAGGAAATGATATAATTATTTTAAAGTGTCTGCGCGAAAACATAGTGATACAACTTTAAAGTAATTCTTCCTGCTTTATTTCGAAGGCAAATGTCAACTTCGCATGTACTGTTTTTAACCCTTTCTAAATATATCAATGGCTTAGTTGACTGAATTTCTTTGAGAAATTATTTGGTACTCTGAAGCTTTCTAAAGCACTTTTATTTGCTAATAACGCGATCCTTTATGCTAAATGTGGTATTTGTGAATTAAGTTTATTTTATAAAATGTTAAGGTAAGATGATAACAGTATATTTTAAAAGTTAGCGATGCATGCTAAACTAGATTTGTGTATTAACAGTGGTAAGACATATAAAAATACTCCAGAAAACCCACCCCAGCTGTCTACCCCCAATTCTATTGTCTCAAAGCGAATTTTTATAGTGCCACTATTATAGCATTTTTTTTTTTTGCATTTCTTAGATCACTATGAGATTGTTTTAAAAGTATTCTGGAAAGGCTGAGCATTTTATGAAACAAGTTGTGCTTCTGGCAATCAAGTCTTCTCTTCAGAACTGTTGTTTGTGGTGAAGCTTTCCTTGAACCAATTCAAGAATGCCATCACTGGCATGCCATCTAACAGTGCCCTGAGCCCTTAAGTGCTCCCCTGCGGTCCCTTATCAACCTGCATAGTCCTTTTGCACCTTGTGGCTTTGGTGACTGCATCTTCTGCTCTACCCATAAAACTAGCAGCCATTCAAGGGACCTACAGGAACAACTTTAGCACGATATTTCAAATGCAAAATTGTGATCAAGAGCTAAGAACGACAGAAATATGGGAAGTTTACCAGCATTTCAAGTTTCTCTGAGAGAGAGCAGGTGTTGCTAAGGGTCATGACCTCCATTTGAGGGTATGAACAGAGGTGATAATGGGGAGGATGTGTGTAAGCTACTCTGGTCAGACTGGGTTGCTTCCTTTTGCAGATTTTTTTTTTTTCAGAGAGAGAGAAAGAAAGAAAGAGAGAACACAGCTGAGGACAATAACAAAAGTATGAGTACATATGAGTGTTCAAAATTGAGAATTCAACAAGTCATATTGGGCATTGAAATAGAATAATATCATATGGCAATTTATATGAGGTCTTGTTAATGGGGTTTGTTCAGCACCCCAAGATCAAACAGCAGATGAAAAAGAGTTTCAGGGTTTAGTTCATCTGTTTCATTGACCAGGATCTATGTGGTTTAGACAACCCCAACTCATCAGCAAAACAAGAAGTCTTTTAACTAAATGATGAGTCAGTCAGCTGCTTAGTAGAGAATGTGATTGGTAGTATTTGTCTTATAAGAACTAACTGATTCGTTGAAATATATTCTATTATATTTGTGGGTACATGAATATGTATATATACAATTCGTCAAGCAGAAGGATGAATTTGAGTAGCACATTCGTGTGTCACATGGTCTCTAACCATTGTTAGAGTTTGCGATTACAGAATTTTGACCAAATTCACATATTAATTTTAATTTTTGCATATCTTGTTGCTTTTCTTCACTGTCGGGGTGGTGTTAAGTCAACCAAGGCTTGCCGGTTTGAGCTAGGCCTGGAGCAGCTCAGAATAAATACATATCTGAGAGTTTCAGACATAAACATAATGTAAACGGAGCTGCAAAGGACGAGGCATAATAACATTTAGCTAACGAGCTGTGGAGTGAGGAGGGTGGAGTCATAGCTGTCTAGACACCATTATGTGTTCAGGCCTGGGAGAGTGCCTGGCATGTTGTAGACCTGTAATACAGTTGTTTGTTTAGCTGTGTGTACTAGGTTATAATTTCTCCTCAACCCAGAAAGACTGTCATTACTTTAGTCCTTGTTCGTCATATGATGCAAGCCAGAGTTGTACAAAACTCAATACTCAAGAGAAACCAAATGACATTGAATTTGATCAAAACCACGACGAGATAGATAGCCAAATTATTTTATAGAGTCAGACCCAAAGCTATTCCTCTTCTACCAGATAACTCATCACACGTGGAATGAAACCTTTCATTAAAACGTTTGGCAAGTTTTCTTTAGAAAATTCAAAAATACTACAAGCCAATGGACATTTTGGGCTTTTAACTCTAACCTTTCATGTAAATGGAAGAGAGCCAATCTAAAAGTTTTAATGATTATAATTAGCATTAATCTGCCCCAATGTTCTAATTGTATATTTAATTAGAAGAGTACCATTTTCAAAGGATCTCATGTTCTCAGGGAATGGATTGTTTATTGTGGTTCCAAAATAATAAGATAAACTGTGACAGGAAATGACAGGATCCTGGGTATTGTTGCACATTTTGCTAATAAGACTTTTGTTCAATGTAACTAAAAATGATAGAAAATCGAGATTGCTTCCTTTCTTCTTTCTTTCTTTCTTTCTTTCTTTCTTTCTTTCTTCCTTTCTTTGTTTTTTCTTTCTTCCTTTTTCTTCTTCTTTTTTTCCCCCAACAAACCATTCAGGTTTTTAAGGTGTATGCTGATGGTTACTAGGCAACCATTTTTTTCCTCACATAAAAGGTAAGGAGTAAGTCACAAAACACTGATCCATTTGATATTCTTATGAACTTTCAGTGATTAAACTTAGATTTTTCAAAATGTATTTAGCTATTTATAGAGAATATATTTGTGACTGTGATAGCCTTTTATTGGTTTACACCCTTAACTTAGTATTTTTCATAAATTAATATAATTAACTATTAATTTAGAACATTCATAAAAGTTTGAAGAACTACTGACACTTCAAGGTTAAATTGGGATGTTTAATTAGGAAGCATAACTCTTTTGCTTTGCTTAAAACAGCCTCACTGTGCTGAAAGGTCACATTGGCCTTCAACTTATAACCCTCTGTAGATTGCGTTGGGTGGGTTACTCAGTCTAGGGGTTTGTAACCCACCCTGCAATCAGTTATTCCAGGGTCACGGAGGGGCGCTACCTGGAAGGGAATGAGCTAAGACAGAAGAAGGAGACCAAGCAGATTTGTCAAAGCCTCCGTTTATTAGGGAAGGGTTACAGTTTATATATGGTAAGGAATGGGGGGCAGGGCAACTGGATTCTTGCTGCGTGTTCCAGGTCACGTAGGCCAGGTTACATTTGGACGGGTAGGCCAGAAGTCACAAGTTGCTACACCTAGTTCCCTGGATAACTGGAATGTGAGGCGGGTTCCGCTAACAGATTAACAGTTAATTGGGTGAGGGGCAGATTTTCTCAATAGAACATAATTATGGGTGTGAGGTTCTCTGCAGACTCCCCAGGGTGATTCCTGTAATGATTTTTAGGGGGGAAATGGCTCCTGACAACCCTCCTGCCTCTGCTTCCTGAGAGTTGAAGTAATAAGCATATGCCATCCAAACTTGTACAAGACATGATAATATTCAGGGAGATGGTATTGGTTGTAACTTTTGCCTATTTTTACCTCCATTTGAGGGTGTCAGTCTGTCATGGGCATACAGACAGCTTTCTTTTTCTTTTCTTTCTTTCTTTCTTTCTTTCTTTCTTTCTTTCTTTCTTTCTTTCTTTCTTTCTTTTTTTTGTGGATACCAAATTAAAGGGTCCCAGAAAATGTACCTGTACTGAATATATTTGAAGCAGTAAAGCTCTTCACATTTAAATAGTTTTTAAAGCATTGACATTCATGTTAGTGTTGAGTGGTTACAATCTACCTGGCGGTATTATATTTTATTTTTTTAACAAGCACACGTATCATAAATAAACCCTGTTAATTATTTTAAAAAGAAGAATTTGGTATTATGGTTAGAGTCAAAGATTTTGGCAAGAAGACTGTCTCCTTTCTGTAATTAGAAGTGGAAAATATCAGGTACTATTTTCTGTAATTTCAAATGGAGATTCAAACTGGTCACAAACTTGGTTTGAGGAATGCCAGATTTTTTGAGTTTGTAAATCTTTGCCATCCTCTGAGTTTCTGAAAAGACTTCTCTTGATGATACCTGGGACCTTAAGTAGTTGGCAGTTGGCAGCAGACAGCCCATTAGGAACAATGGCTGGAATGCTTTATCCCTGGCAGGAATATCTCCAGA